AGCTATTAATTTGTATGCTTTTGGCCAACGATGATTCATGTTGAGATGTTGTTAGTGGTGATTGTTGTTACTGCATTCATGATGGTGTCTCATACGTTGCATATCAAGATGGAGTTGATGCTCGTTAAGATGGCCTGTATTGGCGAATATTGAAATGAAGTCTTATGCCTTGTTGAATGCCTCTATTTATTGGAAATTATTTTAAGATGGGAGTTCTTCTCCAATGGTACCACATGCATTTGCATAGTATTGAGTCGCATTGCACGATTGCATAATGAAGTTGTTGTATTTATGCGGTAAATGTTGTATGTTGTTGATGCTCCGTTGCGATTATTGTTGTTTATAAGATGTGAAGTGGTGATATCATGTGATATAATTTAATATATTATTTATCACACGTTTTATTATATTGTTAGATATGTCACCCCTTCTGTTTGAATGTTATCCTTATGTTGGTAATATGCAGGTAATCCAAAGTGAAGTTGGTTTACCTTCAGTAGTTCGAGTCGGTGTCATTGCTCTGATACGTAATACTCGAGGGGGTGAACGCTTATTGCTTTTAGTTATTGATTATTCCAGTTGTTGAACTTTAATTTGATTGTTGCTAAGTATGTGTTATTTTGAAGTTGATGTAATGTTGGACAAAGATGTTATTATGATTCCGCTGCGTAGTCGCTCACGTTGTTGGTTTTAAAAGATTAAATTATTTTGTTGTTGGTTCATCCGAAGTTTTAAAGTGTTATGTATCCATGTTGAATGCAATGGTTTTAAGTTGAATTTGTGGCATCCTGATTCAGTTGTATGAATTTTATAATTCTGATTTACATTTATATTGTCGGGTAGAATTGGGGTGTTACAAGATGCATGCTAAAGCAGAAGAATTTGTCAAAATATTTATGGGGTGAAGCTGTTTCGGATACAGTTTATATTCTAAACAGGTGCCCTACCAAGAAATTGAAGAATAAGGTTTCTGAAGAAATATGGAGTACCAAATGACCATCAGTAATTCATTTGAAGGTGTTTGGCTCTATGTGTTACAAGCATGTTCCTGATGTTGGAAGAAGGAAGCTTGATGACAAGAGTGAACCTATGATTTTGGTAGGATATCACAAGACTGGTGTATACAGGTTATTCAATCCAATCAATGAGAAGATTGTGTTGAGTCAAGACATTGTGATTGATGAAAATTCTGCCTAGGATTGGAATTCTAAGGATGCAATTAGCAAACCATTGATGAGATATGGTTTCGACGAAGAAACTGAAGAAGTAAAAATCGAAGAAATTATAGATATTTCAGTCGAAGTCGATGTTAAAGCAGTTGTTGACATTCCTGACTCAATCGAAGTCGATGAGGGTGTGGCTAATACAAGCCAAAGACCTCAAAGAACTAGAGTTCTCCCGATAAGACTTCAAGATTATGAAGTGGTCGGTGATGATGAAGTGCACCAAATGAAGAATTAGTTCATTTTTCTTTACTTGTAGGTGCTAAACCAATCAACTATATTGAGGCATTGAAGATTAAATAATAGAATTCTGCTATGGTCGAAGAGTTACAAGCAATCGAAAGAAAAAACACATGGAAGTTAGTCGAATTTCCAGCACATACTAAAGTTATTGAAGTAAATTGTGTGTTCAAGTTAAAACACAATGCTGATGGGTCGATAACAATACATAAAGCAAGATTAGTATCTCTAGGATTTCTTCAATAGTAGGACTCGACTACTCTGAAGTATTTTCTCCAGTAGCAAGATTGGAGATTGTTCAACTAGTGGTAGCATTGGCATGCAACCAAGGCTAGTCGACATTTCATTTAGATGTGAAATCAGAAATTTGAATGGTCCTTTAGACGAAGAGGTATATGTCACACAATCTCCAAAGTTTGTGATTCAGAAAGAAGCGAGTAAAGTATATAAGTTTCCCAAAACGCTTTATGGCCTCAAGTAGGCACCTAGGGCATGGAACAAGAAGATCGACTCATACTTAGTCGAATTGAGATTTGTAAAATGTAAGTCTAAGTATGGTGTCTATGTCCAGGTTGTAGCACGAGATATAACAATCATCTAATTATATGTAGATAACTTACTAGTAGCTGGAAATAGCTTAGAGAACTTGTCGAAGTTTAAAGAGCTGATGATGAAGGAATTTGAAATGTCGGATATGGGAAAATTGTCTTATTTCCTAAGCATGGAATTTCAAAATGTCGAAGCAAGGTATGATGCTACATCAAAGGAAGTATGTCAAAGAGATACTCAAGAGATTCAGAATTGATGATTTGAATCCTGCATCCTCACTTGTCGAACCAAATGTAAAGTTGGAGAAGCATGGAGAGGAAGACAAAGTTGATGTAACTTTGTTCAAATAAATTGTGGGATCTCTGAGATATGTGTGAAATAGTTGACTTGATATAGGTTTCATAGTCGTATTAGTGAGCAGATACATGAGTGAACCAAGGGTGTCGCACATGAAGGCTGCAAGAAGAACCCTGAGATATTTTAAGGGATCAATAAATTATAGAATACTATTTTGAAGAGACTCTGAGAGAAAATAAGCGACAATTACTTGTTTTTTCAAATGTTGATTAATGTGGAGATAAGGAAGATCAAAGAAGTACAATTGGATATTTCTTTCAAGTATTTAGTGCCCCAATCTCATGGTGTTCAAAAAAGCAACATGTGGTGGCATTGTCATCATGTGAAGCTGAATATATAACACGATCCTATGTTGCATGTCAAGCAATTTGGACCATATCTGTACTTGAAGAAATGGAGATCAAAGTGAATAAACCTCTTATGTTTCAAATCGACAACAAGTCAGCCATTAATCTGGCGAAAAATCCAGTTCTGCATGGAAGAAGTAAGTATATTGAAGCTAGATTTCACTTCTTGAGGGAAAAGCTAAATTGAGGTGAACCTGAAGTTAGGTATTGCTCAAGTGAAGCACAGTTGACCGATATTTTCACCAAAGAATTGAAGATCAACATATTTCTAAATTTGATAAGGAAATTAGAAATAGTTCAAATCGAATGTGACTAGCGTAGGTTCGACAACTTGGATTATGGAGGGTATGTTAAAATATTAGATATAATAAAATATTATATATAATATTATATATAATCCAAGTTGTGTAATCTAAGCTCAAGCTCAATTAGGGTTTGTTAGCTTACTTAGTGTACAAGTTAGTTATAAAATAGACTAGTCTGTATCATTATTTGTAACAATTCAAGTGAATAATATAATCCTTATTTCCTTATTTTTCTCTTTTTCTCTACTCACTAAAAGTGTCTGATGCACTAACACAAATTCAATCCAAACCAATATATATTTTTAATTGATTTTAGCATCAAATTCTCTTAAAAATGAACCAAACCAATTTGCAAATACCCCTATTATTAATAACACACTTAAAGTTTAAAATTTTTGTTTCAATTAGATTGTTTTATTCATTACCTAACTCTAAGGTAGGTGATGATAGTCGGTCATTGCATGTTTTTTTAATACAAATTTTACATTACTTTTAAAAGCACTTATTTCTAATCATGTGTGTTTTTAGCTTTTTAATAAAAATTGTCAAAAAGCAACAGAGAATTTGGCGGCATTGGCGAGGACCAGAC